GGCTGTCTTGTTTCATTCTTAAAGTGGGATGTTTGTTCCCCTTGAGAAGGACAGGAATGACAGACTGGGTCAATTTAAGCCCTTAAACACCAGAGACCTTCCTAAAACTCAAGACACGGTGAAAGGAAAGGAAAAGTTACTACTTTTTTACCTTATGTGAATACGCGACTCATCTAAAATTTGTAAATTTTGTAATCATTTGGTTAGACATATATTTTAGTGCAAATGCTTAAAGGATAGACCTTGAAAAGAGGTGGGAACTAGTGTGTCGGATTTTCCTGGCTGTCAGTATCAGGGCTTTTAGTGGTGGAAAATGGATTGGGGAAAATGAATATCAGTACACAAATGCTGGGTCTAATACAGCAAATGGAGCAAGTTGCCAGCGAGCCTTGGTGTGTGCTCTTGGATCAGAGCAGGTGAGCCCTGAGGGGTCTCCTCAAGGAAGAGTCAGAAATAGAAGCAGATGTACTTGCTGTCGGAAGGCATGGAGCTCTTTGGGGACTGCTGCAAGCAGCGGGGTGACCTGCTTTTTTCCATTTGGTGTTAGATCTTCTGATTGGGGTCCTGGAGTTCTTGTCCTAAATCCACTTGCCATTTGATTGTAAGAGAGAGGGCTGAGGAATCAATGTCTATGTGCATGCGTCTATACAAGAGAGATGCATGTGTGTGCTGAGTTTCCCTCCTGGCTACAGTTCGTATTCTTCATTTTGCCTTTAGGGTACCATGTGCTTTGCATGTGCTATTTCCATTTTCAAAGTCCTTCTTTTCCTGCTGGTCATGCTTTCAGAGAAAGGCTGTTGAAGAGTTCTTTGGGTAACTATGGGCTTGCATTCTATATATGAAATGGCATTGACAAATGGAGTGCATGTTTAAAATTTAAAAGGACTGTTGCAGTAAAAGATATAATAGCTTTAATCTCCCTCAAAATATCCCTTCATGCTGAACACAAGTATCTGTCATTATTGACTCTTTTAGAAGTTTTTTTTTTAAAGATTATTTATTTATTTATTCATTTGGTATAGGGTCTCACTATGCATCTCACACTCTTAGTGATCCTTTTGTCTCAGCCTCTCCAGCACTGGGATTATAGGCATGTGCCACCAAGACTGGTATTAGGGTCCAATGGTACACCTGGGATTCTGAGGCCTGCATGGCATGAAGTACCAGGGATCAAACTCGGGTCCTTGTGCTTGTAAGGGAGGCACTTAGACCACCAAGCTATCTCCCCAGCTCCCTCTTTTTTTCACTTTTATATTATTAGTACACACTTGCAGTACATGATGATTACATTCAGCAAGGGGGAGTTGGTACCTGCACAGAGCACATCTCAGTTCTTTTCAGGTTCCTTCCCATCCTTGGTTCCCTTATCACTTGTAAAAATCACCCTCTCTGTTTCTATTATCTTTCAATTTATTCTTAATTTATTTAAATATACTTTGGGTTTCTCATATAAAAGAAACGACGTGATACTTGAGCTTCCATGTCTGATTTGTTTCCCTTAACATTATGGTCTCAAGTTGCATGCATTTCTCTACATGTGACTCATATTTATGCTTTTTTATGCTTCAATAGTATACCACAAGATCTACACAGAACATCTTTCTCATTCATTCATCAGTTGAGGGACATACGGGTCACTTCCAAGATTCAGCTATTATAAGTTGTGCTATTCAACATGGTGCTATGGTTTGTGTTTAGATGTCCCCCAAACCCTCATGTGGTCACTGGGTGAACTTCCAGAGCTTGTGACTGATTCATGGTCTAATGCTGGGATTATGGGTGTGAGTGCTACACCGGCCCTGGGGCAGCAGCCTGCATACAGCATAGGGAGCGAAAGAAGATGGCTCTCTGCTGCTCCTCTCCCTTTTTGTGCTTCCTGTTCTTGCTGTTTTCTACTGGCACAGACTGGTGCCCTCTGCCCCTTTGCCTCCCTGCCTTGGATCCAGCTCAGTGTGGACCAAAATCTCCACAAATTGTGAGAAAGCCTTTCCTTCCTTCACACTGAATGTGGGGTATATTTTTGTCTCTGCAATGAGAGAAAAGTGACCAAGGCTCATGGAGATGAGTGGATCTTTTTTAATTATTAATTTTATTGAGAAACAAATAGCAATGAGACAGTTTCAAAACTGATTAATCAGACAGTTTCAATAACTAATACATTGTACATTGTTATCTTGCTAGTGGTTATCCATAGTACAAGATGCAGACATGATATCCTGTCCAAACACTATTAGTACAAATCTTTCTTCTCATTGAATTAAGCGAAAGTAGCTGTATATCTATCCTAACTATTCTGCATATATAGATACAAAATGATCCTTCATTTGTATCCTTTTTTTGTTTAGTTTTGTCAGAGGAGGGTATTTCATTGTCACTTAAATATTGTAGGTGTGTGAATTCAGCAAAATATTCCAATATAGTCCAGCAGTCCACAATATTAGTGGGTTATCTGCAGGACTGGTAATGTCAGACATTGTTGACTTGAGCCTTGCATAGCTCAGCATATTAATATGGCTTTACTTTATATACCTTGTTTTTATGCTTTTCTGCTGGATGGTTAAGACCAAGATAAAGCAAGACCTATATAACAAGCAATGTAACTTTTGTGTCTGATAAGGTCAGTCAAGTACCCTCAGGATTTATCCTGTAACCCTGTACTGCAGATTGCAGATTCTTTTGTCAGTGTCAGCCATGCGGATGAGTCATGGCCATTGCTTAACCAATTTGCTGTCTGTGAAAGCCTGAGAGAATGTTTTCTCTCCATGTGACTCTCCATAGGCACACTCTATGTCATCGATCCTGTTGCTCTGTGGCCCCATAATATCCTTGATCAGAAAATATGGGACACAACTGAGTTACATGATGTTACAGTATAGATTCTCCTATGTTCTGAGTCCTGAGTCAAGTTCACTGAACTTGAAAGGCTAGGGTCAAAATGTGGGCTGTCCTTGCAGCCCTTGTATTTCTCTCATTTTTGGTCTGCAAACTTAGGTTGCTAACTCTCCAGAAGAGAAGCTTATTATTACCCTACAAAATATGCAGTTGCGTTTAACCTCACTGTCTGTCTGAATATCAAACATCCTAGTCATAGCATGGAACAGGTACTTTCCATCAAGTATTGATATGCTAAACTTTAAGTCCCTACAGAATATGGAGAAAAAATTTTAAAAACGAAAAATACTTAAAAAATATGAATGAACAATTACATATTTTCACACAGATATCTAGAAATCCAACAATACATATCATTGCAGCAGGACAGTCCTGTGACATTCTTTTTTTCTTGTGTCTTTTTTTTATTAATTACCTCTTTTTATTTATTTATTTATTTTTTAGAAAACAAACATTTCCTTGAGAGATAGTATGGTAGCAATAGGTATGTCATGACAAGCAGTACGTATCTAGAAGACCAGAATGACAGGCATTCCAAGCGTGACCCTTCCACTACACATTGCTATCTTTAGTGCAGCTGCTTGGTTTGCAGGTATCAGCATATATAGTCAGTCAGGGTGAGAATCCTACCAATTCACTTCTAGATTCAAAAATCTGCTAATGTTTCTCAGCATCATTGCCTTACCCATCTTGTGTGTATAAATTTATGGCTTTGCCCCTGTCATGTATCCCAGCTTTTCTTCTTACCCTCTCCTCATTGTCCAATCCTCAGGTTCTCTTTCCTTTTAATTGTGTTATACTTTTCTATTTGTATTTCTTTTAAGTTCTTATGCTAAAGAGACTATACGATATTTACATATGTGGGTCTGGTTTATTTCACTTATGAGTTTATCTTCAAGTGGCATCCACTTAAATATAAATGCTTCAAGTTTATCATTCTTTATAGCTGAGTAATACTCCACTGTATAAAAGCACCACATCTTTTTCAACCATTCCTCAGGTGATGGGATCTTGGTTGTTTCCAAGATTTGGCTACCACAAATTGTGCTGCTATAAACATAGGCACACATATATCATTATGATATGATGTTTTAAGTTCCTCTGGGAAAATTCCCAGTAGGGTAAAAGCTGGCTTGAATGGGATTTCCAGCCCTAGTTTTTTAAAGAGTCTCCACACTGATTTCCATAATGGTTGCACCAGTCTACATTCCCACCAGCAGTGGACAAGGGTTCCTTTTTCCCCACAGCCTCTCCAACATTTGTTGTTGGATGATTTCTTTATGATAGCCATCTTTTCTGGCGTGAGATGATATCTCAATGTTGTTTTAATTTGCATTTAATGGATGGCTAGTGATGCAGAGCATTTTTTCATATATTTATTCACTTCTTTAATTTTGTCCTCTGAGAAGTATGTGTTCCTCTCAGATGGCCATTTCTGGATTGGGTCTTTAAATTTAGGGGCCCTAATGACTTTTAGTTCTTCATAAATTCTAAAGAACAGACCTTTGTCTGAGTGCTCATTAGTTAAGAGTTTTTTCAAATTTGTGGGTTGTCTTTTTACTTTGTTGGTAATTTCTTCTGACGTGCAAAAACTTCTCAATAAGAGCTGGTCCCAATTGTTAATTCTTTCAAGTATTACCCGTGTGATTTGATTTTTGTTCACAAACTCTTTGCCTACCCCTATATCTTCAAGAGTTCCTCCTACTTTTTCTTCGAGGAGACTTAGTGTTTCTGTTTTATTGTTTAGATCTTTAATCCATTTTGACTTTACCTTAGTGCATGGTGATAGACCTTAGTCAAATTTTAGTTTTCGGCATGTAGAGAAGCAGTTTTTCTAGAACCATTTGTTAAAAAAAATACGGTATGCTTCATGAATTTGCATGCCATCCTTGTGCAGGGGCCATGCTAATCTTCTCTGTATGGTTCCAACTTTAATATATTGCTGCTGAAGCAAGCACTGGATCTTCTTGTTTAGGGAGCATCTTTAGTCGTGCTGTCACAACTGCCTTGATGTCTGAGCTGATTTAAAATGTTTTCCTTTCATGTTCATGTTGACTTTGAGGAAAAGCCAGAAGTTACTTAGCACCAGGTCCAGGCCACAAGGTGGCCACACTTGAGGACACACTGAAATGGTTTTATGAGACTGCATTTTTGTTGCATGGCGCTTGGCAACAGCATTCACTGTAGTTTTGATGGCACCTGTTTCTGATGTCAAACAGGACTTTCAGAACTGTTTCAGGGAATGCCAAGAAAGCTGGACATTTCAGTCTGCAATCAGCTGGTTCCAAGGCAGGGTAGCACGGCACTGAGGCAAGAGTTCGAGGTGGCAGAAGACAGCAAAAGCAACAAGAGTAAAGTGGGGGAGAGTAGCCCCTTTTCCTTCTTACACTGTAAGCAGGCTAGTCCCCCCCTAGGGTGGCTGTAGTGCTCACTCCCTCTCCCTGTCCCCCTCCACAGGCTCAGGATGTTCACACAGTGAGGGTCCTGGCTCCCTGCTGAGAAACTCAGTGAAACCTGTAAACTTCTCAAATTGACACATTGTATCCAGCACTAGAGTAAATAGAGCTTTATATATGGAACTGTCCCAAGGTAAAACATAATGTTAGGACTTGGTAGCTAAAGGCTGGGGCCGCTCCAGGCTTGGCCACTGTGCAGAAGTATCCAGGCCACATGCACTGTGTGGGCCCAGGCAGCAATCCTGATTGACATGTTGCTGGCATTTATGAACTCAAAGCACCCAAGAAAGAGTGCGAAACAATTTTCTTATGTGGATGAACTGAGGAGCCTTCTTTACATCTTGTGTTGAGCTCATTTTCATCTTAAACTTGTTTCTCCATTACTGGCTTCTCAATATTTACCTTCTTGGATTAGGACCTTCTCTCAACTTGAAATCGTTTGTTCACTTTTGTATTCTTCTATGTCTGGGCACCTCAAACAGTGTCTCTGCACTATATGTCACATGGACCCACAGAATTTTTGAGAAAATTTAATGATTTATTCCCCTTAGAGCCTTACAGCTATTTGTCCTATAGTCCTTTCCTATTGATGATATTTCTTGATTTAGGGGTCATGGGGCTTCTGATGTTCTAGAAACAGGTACTAAGATAAAATACTTTATAGATGCTATTCACAATTAAAAATAATGTATTACATATTTCAAAATTATTAAAAGTTTAGAGGCTTAGTAACATCTTCACAAAAAACATTAAGTTGGCGAGCTAATGTGTTAATTGACTTGCCTTAATATTTTTACAGTGAATGTGTAGAATAAAACATCATGTTAATAT